TAATATGTGGTTTACAATAAAGAGTGAGGTTATTCACTAGCTATTTGTGATTGGGGAATTATCTCACACACTACATAGTGCTAGTACTAGTAGTAGTCGTACTACTAGTAGTAGGCCTCAAGTGATATACTACTAACACCACTCCAAACAAGTACTAGTAGTAAAGACTAACAGAGTTTCACTAAAGGAAAATCATAAGTAGCAAGTACTGATGCAACTGAAGTTACAAATTACCTTTCCAGTAGTAAAGGACCTCTACAATAGTACTAGTATAATATTTTGGGATTTGTTCTTTTGGTAGAGGGGGGGAGACGGGAAAAGGAGAAGGGAAAATGAAAAAATTGAATTTTTGTCAGTCACCAACTTCCCTGCCAGAGCAACTAGACAGACACCAGGGACATATGTGCCCACAATTTTTCTACTGGAGAGCAAAATTCTGGCTGGTTTTGGATGGTCCCCGCACAAACACTAACAAAATTGTCAGGGTCGTCATTTTTACAGTTGAAGAAATTGTTTCAAATTGTTTAATTTATTGCTGGTCCCAAAGCAATTCTAAGTGCTCCTTACTACTGGAGAGGTAAATTCATTGCTTACTACTTGAGAATTACTATTACTAGTAGTGCTTACTAGTAGTAGTACTGGTGGAAAACCTCTTGCAGCACCAACAGAATCCCCCCCTTACCCAGCAGTTCGGAGTGCTCACTACTACTACTACATCCCCACTAGTATGTAGTAATAGAGTTTTTTCAGTAGTAAGCACTTATAGTTATTCTCGAGTAGTAAGCAATGAATTTACCTCTCCAGTAGTAAGGACCACTAGTAGAAACATTTTGGGACTTGTTTTTGTGTGTAGAGGGGGGGGAGAGGGGAAATTGAGATGAGAGAATGAAAAAAAATCGAATTATTGTCGAACGAAACGTCCCTGGTGTCTATTTAGTCGTTCTGTTTAGTCGTTTTCTCTCAGTCCCGATTTGAGTTTCAATTGAAAACAACTGTTTTTGCGACCCAACAGTCCGAGATGTTGAACAATCATATCTTGGTTCAACGTTACAACACAGTTTTTGCTTTGTCATCATCGCAAGTACTCGAGTATCTGTGTCGACGGCTTTACAGACTACGAAAAGAAACGAAAGCAGAGACATGAGAGGATACAATCTCGGATCTGCGTCACTGCGATATCAAAATTTGCTGGTCGTGATCAAACAAACAGCATTTGAGGAGTATTCGCAACTCAAGTTGCGTGGTCAAGCTCCGAAGGCTCTTCGATGGAAAAGACTGGAGCAACGATACCAAGCGCACAAAAAGTGCGTGAATGATCTTCTTTCTGTACTTCAAGAAAACAACGTTAGCTTCAATTGCGTGAATCGAGTAGATCTTGATAGACAGCAYTTGGCGGATATTGATCTCATGGTGGCAGTCGGAGGTGATGGAACTGTTCTGAGCGCAGCWCATTTTCTTGATCATGGCACAATCCCTTTGTTGGGCGTCAATTCCGACCCCAATGTATCCATCGAAGACCGACAAGTCACAAAGAAAAAACGAGACGAGCGGAAGTACGTTGGTAGTTTCCCTGCAGGAAATTTGTTACRTTTTCACAGCTTCGTCTCGCCTCGTTTTTCGGTACCTTCCAGATTAGTGTCTTATCCTTTTCTCTTATTCTTGCTGGATTGCATAATGTTACGAAACGAAACAACAATACAGGTCCCACGGCGCGCTCTGTGCTTGTACTGCACTAGATATTAAGGACAGGTTATCACCAATCTTGTTTGGGGAAAAAGAGGTACATACAGTTGGATGCATATGAAAATTGAATTTGATGCCTAAAAATCTTTCGCGGTTCAGACAAATAGCTGCGCCCATCGATGGATTTCTCATTCTTCGCCTTATAATTTTTCGCTTCTCTTGTCGCTATTGATACCGTCAAAATTGAGAGTAGGATAGCCTGTCAAAAAGAACACGTATCCGCTGTAAAGTCAAATCAACCTTTTCAGAAACACGCTTGGTTCCGGCATTGAACGACTTATTAATTGCCAACCCGAGTCCAGGTGCTGTATCTCGGTTCCGCCTCGGCTGGTTGTCCAAGTTGGATTCGGAAGAAGACATCGATGGTGATGTACCGTCTGTACCAAAAGATGCCGGGACCCGGTTTGCCGGTATATCTTATGATATTAAGCACGGTTTGAACGTTTGGTCGTCGGGAATGTGGATTTCCACGAGGTATGGCTTGGTTTGCTCAGAATAGACCACGAATTATTGCTTTGAACTTTTCCTGGCTCTCTTTGCCGTCACTGCTGTGGATCCTAATTCGAATCAATCATTTTTTCCTTGTATTATCTTCGTTTTGTTTAGTACCGGATCGACAGCCGCCATGGCAGCAGCCGGTGGCCAGCCCATGAACCTTGATTCTTCAAATCTTCAGTTCATGATCAGAGAACACATGATAGAGAATTCCAATGAAGTGATCGATCACKGTGTTGATAACGGATTCGTAAACGACGAGGAAGAAATGCACATTCGTTGGAATTCCCAGCGAGGACGAATATATATTGATGGCTCGCACCTGACTCACAATTTGGAGCTGGGTGACGAGATTATGATTGACAACAAGGCACCTCCCCTGCCTATGTTCATGAGATAGTGAGGTACATACGGCTAACAGAATGTATCACCCTGTAACAATAGTTGCTAATATAGTTTGCAAGTTTCCATCCTGATGAAGATGACCATTTGTTCGATTCTAYACCTGTCAACACCATTGTGTAGTGCACAAACGAAAAMTCWTTCTTGTTTTATTTTCTCAACGGAAAAATGGAAACAAATGTTTTTGTAGAAAGCGARTTCCATGTTGTTTAGGACTTGAATACCATCTCCGAAATGCAAGCTTTTCGATGTCATTGATAAATTGGAACGGTGAAATGCTTTGACCGCAACGCATTCATGGAACAAATGGAATGATATACCACTGCGAAAGCTCCGTGAGTACAGTGAGGACATCATCCTTCCCCTTTGGTTGACCCTCGTCATTGATTCTCCATGGAATGTTATATTTTTTCTCTCTGCCGTATTGGTGCTAATGGTGCCACTGCCTCATCTGTCCAAAGATCTTCGTCGTACTCCGCTACAAGACAGACATTGTCTCCCCGAATGACATAGAGACCTAATTCCACAATCTCGGGGGGCGAACCGACCGAATACACCCGCTCTTTCGCTTCGTTCAAGATCAGGTTTTGCACCTGATCGTGCCCTACTAAATACCCCAAAATAATTCGACCATCGCCAGTGACGACACATATAGATTCTTGTCAAGAAAAGAGAACAATAAATAAAGAACGAAAAAATTGACGAATTAACGCGCTGATCAGAACGGAACGGCAATGGATGCRTAGCAAAGAGCAAGGCGTGATATGCAGCGGCAACAACGCATTCAACTAGTGACAGYAGGCAGTATGAAAGCAAAACTGAATAACTGCACTCACTATCCCTCCATTCGGCTAGAGTCGACGCCATTTTCCTTCCTTTCTCTTGAGCGGAATAATGAAATGGTGGTTGTGATATTTGATCAAATACAGGATTTTGT